TCCATTTACATTTAAAGTAATTATTGATAGGTATGGACATAGTGCCACTTTGTTAACTGTTTTCTGGCTGCTTCTGTAGTTCCTCTCTGTTTCTTTCTTAATCTATTTCTCTCTTCCCTTGTGGTTTGATGACTTTCTTTAGCGTTATGTTTGGATTCCTTTCTCCTTTTCTTTCGTGTATCTACTAATAAGTTTTTGATTTGTGGTTACCATGAGGTTCACATATAACATCCTATGTGTACAACAGTTTATTTTAAGTTGATAGGAAGTTAAATTTGAACACATTCAAAATTAGACATTCTCTCCCCTCACCAAAATTGTTTTTGATGTCACATTTTACATCTTTTTACTTCATGTATTCCTTAACTAATTATTATAGTCTTATTTAATTTTACTACTTTTGTCTTTTAACCCTCATACTAGCTTTATAAGTGATTAATCCACTACATTTACTATATATTTACTCTTAGTGTGATTTTTACTTTCATAAGTTTTCTTGATATTAATGAATGTCATTTCTTTTCAGATTAAAAAGTCCCTTTAACATTTCTTATAAGACTCGTTTAGTGGTGATGAACACCTTTAGCTTTTGCTTGTCTCGAAAACTCTTTCTCTCTCCTTCAACTCTGAATGGTAACTTTGCTGAGTACAGTCTTCTGGGTTGGAAATCCTTCCCTTTCAGCACTTTGAATATGTCATGACACTCCTTTCTGGCCTACAAAGTTTATGCTGAAAAAAATCTGCCAATAGTCTTATGGGGTTTCCCCTGTATGTAACAAGTTGTTCTTCTCTTGCTACTTTTAACATTCTCTCTTTAACTTTTGACATTTCAATAACGGTGTGTCTTGGTGTGGATCTCTTTGGGTTCCTCTCTTTTGGAACTCTCTAGGCCTCCAGGACATGGATGTCTATTTCCTTCCCTAGGTTAGGGAAGTTTTCAACCATTATTTCTTGAAATAAGTTTTATGCCCCTTTCTCTCTCATTTGCTGATCTGTTCTGCCTCATCCAGTCTGCTCTTGAATCTCTCTAGTGTATTTTTCACATCAGTTATTGTAATCTTCACTACGACTTCTGTTGGGTACTTTCTTATATTTCTGTTTGTTGAATTTCTCACTGTGTTCATTCATTCTTCCCCAAGTTCAGAGAGCATTTTTATGACCAGTATTTTGAATTCTTTATCAGGTAGATTATTTATCTCTGTATTATGAAGGTCTTTTTCTGAAGTTTTGTCTTGTTCTTTCATTTGGAACAAATTTTTATATTTCCTCATTTTGCTTAACTCTGTGTTTGTTTCTATGCAGGAGGCAAAACACCTAGCTCTCTCAGTCTTCAAGGAGTGGGCTTGTATAGGTGATGAACCTTATCCTTCAACCTTGCCCTAGTTTTTGGTTGTCTCTCATACCTTTGTGATTTGTCTCAACAGCCTGATTTATTCTTGATAGGTTCCCATTGTTGAGAGTTTGCCCAGACCTGTCAGTGTTCCAAGGGGAGAAACCTCAGTTAGCACCTAGTTTCAGGCTGACTGAAAGCCAGACCCTAAGGTAGCAGCTTTAAAGCATGCAAATATATACAGTCTTGTGGGGCTTCAATCCTAAACCTTGCTGGCCTCCAGATCAGGAGATCTGGAGGTGTCCGCTGGGTGAGAGGTGCAAAAATTGGGTTCCAGATGAGTTTCTGGGAGGTATCCTTAAGCTGTAGTGAGACTTAACATGATGCACAAGAATACAGTCTCCCTTCTTATGTTCCCTAGAAGCACCTCTGTAGCCTCTAGATGCGTGAGAAACCTGAGGCCTGTCCCCCAGGCTGAAGCTCCAGGATAAGCAAATAGGCCTTTTTCACAGGAAGACTGGGGGGTGTGTTTCAGTCTACTGACTGCGTAGTATCCTGGTGGTGGCACCTGTCAAGAACCGTCTTTCCAATTGTTACATTCTTGTGAGGCCCAGGAAATCCAGCAACCTTGGCCACCAGGGCCAGGCAATCAAGGGTCATCCCCTGGGTGAACTGTGCAGGGCCTGCTGGCTTTACTGGGGCAGGTAGAGAACGTAGAGAGCAAGGAATGCTTGCTGGCTTCAGCCAGCTTTAGTAAAGAAGTAGGTAAATGCTATGACGTCTGGTGCTTGCCGGCTCCACCAAGGGAGTGCAGGAGTGTTGCAACCATCTGTGCTCACAGACTTTAGCAAAGGAGTAGAACAATGCCGTGACCGTTTGTCCTTGCCTGCCCTAGCCAGGGAGCAGAGAAGCACTCCATCCACCTATGCTCTGTGGTTTCAGCAAGGCAGAGAGATAGTGCCATGACTGCTCGGCCCCCTCCTACCTCAGCAAGGCAGCGGGAGGGTGCCAAGTCCAAGTCTGTCCACCTGTACTAGCTGGAGAGGTGAAGAGTACAGAAATGGCATCTGCCAGTGCCTCCGCGTCCAGAGAGAGTTTCAACTGTCTCCTGCCCCTGCAGCAGATGTCTTAAGATTAGCAAATGAATCTTCAAAAATAATCTAGGCATTTTTCAAACTGCTGCTTTTGCGCTGGGTCCCAGGGTGAGTAAGGCTGCACATGAACTCTTTAAAAGGAGAATCTCAGTTCCCTATAGACCTTTGAGTCCCTTGGACATCAGCCCATTTGTTTTCTAAGGTAGGCATTTTGGGAATTCATCTCTCCAGTGCAGATCCCAGGGGTTAGTGGTGCCTGATGTGGGGTACAAAACCCTCACTTCTCCAGGAGAAGAGCTGGACCAGTGAGATCCCTCCCTACTCTGTGTCAATGCACTGGGGATGAGGTTTTTGATGAGACTGTGTCTCTCCTAAACATCTCGATGTGGCCCTTTTACCCGTGGTTGTGGAGAAGCAGTTTATGTAGCTTTCAGATCTCTTTCAGGAAGAAATGATCCATATGTAGATATAGACCTGGTGTCTCTGTGGGAGGAGATAAGTTCAGGATCTTCTGATGCCACTATCTTGGACTCTTTCCAGATTGTTTTTTTGCTATTGTTATATGAGTTCTGTATATATTTTTGTTATTAACTCATCAGATATATGATTTGCAAATACTTCCCTTCCATTCAGTAGGTTGCCTTTTCATTTTGTTGATGGTTTCCTTTGCTGTACAGAAGCTTTTTAGGTTTGATGTAGTTCCAACTTGTTGATTTTTGCTTTTGTTGCCTTTGCTTTTGGTGTCAAATCCAGAAAGTCATTGCCAAGACCAATGTCAAGGAGCTTATTGTGTATGTTTTCTTCTAGGAGTTTTATGGTTTCAGGTCTAACATTCAAGTCTTTAATCTATTTTGAGTTAGTTTTTGTGTATGGTGTTAGACAATGGTCCAGTTTTCCCATCATCATTTATTGAAGAGACTGTCCTTTCCTCATTTATATTCTTGGTTCCTTTGTCATAAACTAAACGATCTTATACGCAATTTTTTGAAATGTAAACCAGATTCCTTTAACGACTTCCCTCTAAATTTAGGATATAAATCTGAACTTCTAACCCAGAGACCTATAAGGCCCTAAATACTCTGGCTGCTGCTCCATCTCTCTCCAACTTCATCTCTAGCTACTTTACATACTACTTACTACCATTCCAGCCAGACTGGTCTTCTTTCAGTTTCTTCAATTCGCCAAGCTCCTAAGTCACTTTGTAGACTGCATTTGTTGGTCCTGCTATGAGGAGTGCTCATCCCCTGTTCCATGCCCTCAATTTCTTCAGATCTCAGCTTGAATTTCACTTCCTTAGTGAGATTTTCCTTAATATTCCTACACTCAAATGGAAGAAAACCAGGTTCCTTCCTGTGGAATCTCATAAGCATCCTGTGTGTTTCATTCATAGTACTCAATCACAATTTGGAATGATTTATTTGTGTACTTATTTGTTCAATGTCTACCTCCCCTAAAAGGGTGCCTAATTGCAGACACCAAGAGGGCAGAGACTGCTAAATCTCCAAGTGCCTAATACTTCATAGATATTTAGTTATTTTCACAAATAAACAATACTTTAAGAACATTTTGTAATGCTTTTTTCTTACCAGATTGAAAAAAGTGCCTAGAGAATGTCTAAGAAACCTGAACAAAGCACAATCGCCAGAAAACTGAAAAATGTGTTAGTAATTAGAACGACATCATAAAATTTGGCAATTAAACTAACTCAGAAATAAGTCAAGTACCTATTACATGCCACTGTAACAGACGCTGAGGATGTAGTTGTAAATAAGACAGTAGAATATGGCCAATATATTAAATTTTTCTAAGAACATAAAATCTCAAATACAAACTCCCAAGTCTCAAAAAATAAACATTTGTTTCCTTTAATAGACAATTCTACTGGTAGGAGAAGCTCTCTCAAATTATTTTGTTTCAGTTGCTTACTGAAATATTAGTGAAAATTGTCAATTTAGGAGAGGAGAGAAAAAAACAATTACAGGCTTCCATGTCCAGATTACAGGTCCAGGGGACCAAGTCTTTATGTCAGAAAGTGTAATAGCAGTAGCAGCAACAAAGATAACCGCAATCACTTAGGTTTTCTTGGACAACCAAGTGAATGTCCATATAACTACTAAACTTGTCTTTTAAGTTAGTCCAAAATATGACACTGAAAGTTAACAGAATAGATGCTCTCGCTACCACTGTAAAGTAGGGGAAAATACAATAGAGTAAGGGCTGAATATGCTTTGCACCTTCAGAAAAATAATTTCACCTCTCTAGGTCACACTTTTCACGAATGTGGGATGAGAGGTTTGGACCAGATCCTCTATAAGGATCACTGTAGCTCTAGTCATATCGCACAATACAATTATATAAGGAAATAAATGTCAAACTAAAATGTTCTCTGGTACTAGAGTGATGACAAGGCAAGTGTTTTTTCCTTTAAAAATTCTCAAAATCAGGGCTCTGAATTTTAAAAATCTGGTGAAGATGTTTTGTACTCACAAACAAAAGTACCATAATTGAAATTTTACCCATTCTATCTTGAATTAAAATATTTAACATTATATTTCCAAATCAATAATGATGCTCACCGATACTGATATGTCCTCATTTTTTCTCTTAACACTGGAGTCAAACAAGACATTTCTCCCTCGTCTTTCACAGTCTTGATAAACAATCAGTCGAATTTGGCTTGGATCAAACTCTGGCAAAGGCCAACTTTAAAGAAAAATAGAGATCCATTAGCGTTACTTTAATAAATATTTCACATAAATACCTAGAAATAAAACCTATATAATAAAACCCAAGGTTGTATTACTGCTAAAGAATCTATAGCAGATATCTTTATAAAATACTACTATTTAGTTTAGGGCTGAAAACTTATAGCTATGTCATTTTAGATTAAAAAGTAAAAATAAAAGTTGTGGCAAGTATTACTCAGTGTATATAAAATACAGTAATCCAAGATGAATCTAAAAATAGCTAACAATAAAAATGCATAAGTACATTTAATATAATGAAAATACAAATTGATTTTATAGTACGGACCCAGACGGCATAAAGTTAATGTCTATTTTTAAATAGTTTTGTTACTGTTTCTTTAACTAGAAATGTAAAAACAGAAACGGCTTTCAGTTTAAATAACAGCAGCTAAATATTTATAAACCAGTAACAAGTGAAAAAGTAACAAACGTCCAAATGTAGTGGGAATTCTCATATATACTGATGTTGAGTAAAAACTGGCACAATCTCTTTAGAGAAGAGTTTTTTTAATATACATAAGTAAACAGACAAAATCTAGTAAAACTGAAGTTGACTACACCAATTCCATTACAAAAAAGTTTACTATTATACAAAAATGTTCATAGCAGCACTGTTCCTACTAGTTGAAAACTGGAAAAAATTCAAATGTTCATCAATAATAGAAAGGGTAAACATATTATGGTTTATTCAGATAACAAAACACTACACAACAAACACAATGAATGAACTTCATTACAGGCAAAACTTCAGCTACAGGCAAAAGATGGATGGACACTGAGCAAAAGAAATGAGAAGACACACACTGAAACACACATACAAATAGTTACTGTATGTTCCCATTTATATAAAGGTTTAAATCAGGCAAAGTTTTATCTATGGGTGCATATTTAGTTTTTAAAACTATAAGGAAAACAAAGGAAGTGATGGCTTCAAAAGTTTGGAGTAAGGTTGAAGGTGGTGGAGGTGTAACCAAGAAGGGATTTACCAGGTAAACTGGGGCACTGACTATGTTCAATTTTTTGACTGGATAGTGCTTACATAAATATTTACTTTACAGTACAACTACAACAACAAAAGCCACTGCATTTGTTTCATATATTTTTATATATGCATTATATTTCACAATTAAGAAGATTAATGGAGTGAGTGAGATGTGGAGGAGAGGGAAAGAGACAAAAGAACAAAACGTATGGTGGAGATACTAGTCTGGTACACAACACACTACAACTGATAGGACAGTTGCTAAGAAACAGGAGAACTGCCATTCCAGGAGCTGTTTGTCATTAGTTACATCAGGCTGAATGGTCAATTCCTCACAATTCATCAGTCACAGCTTTTGATTGGGTTCTTTCATTTCCTTATGAGAACCTTAGCCCTAACCCCATCATGCATGTTAAACAACCCATAACTGGCAACATAAAATATCTTCATGCCAAACTCTTGACAGTAAATACAATTTTAGTTTTCTCCTGTCTAATCTCTAGCAAATGTATGTGTGTAAGGAACTGATGAAAGACTTACCCTAGACATTCAAGCTAAACCAGAGATTCATCCTTAGAGCTGAATGATTTGCATGCTACTGAAGTGCTTTTAGTAAACTGAGCTTTGATATTACACAAAGGAAACTGTAAGACAGAGCGAGGTAGAGTGAAAATCAGGAAAGTGGTCTCACAAAAACCAAGAAAGAACAGCATTTTAGAGAGGAAGAAAAAATGCCATGGCAGTCACTAAGAAGCATCCACTAGCTTTAGAAACAAAGAAGTCATTGATGACCGTGGCAAGAACAGTTCTAAAGAGTAAAGAGTACAGGGGTCAAACTGCAGAGGACTGAGGAGTGAAGGGGAACAGAGAAAATAGTAAATTTAAGAAAACTGTCAAGGAAAGAGAGAAAGAAAAGGAATCATGAAATAGAGTGATAGTTATTTTGTTATTAAAAAAAGCACAACTGAACATGTTTACATACTGATCTCAAAGAATGTGAAGTGGAGGGGAGATGGTGACTGATAAAAGCAAGGCCTCTGAGGATGTGAAGGAGGATACAGTATAGAATACAGGTTAAGGCATCAGCCTCAAACAGAAGAAAGGATAAACCCTGCACGAGCATGGAAAGAAAGGAGACAAAGAGAAACATGAGTATAGAAAGATTTGTAGATATGATGGTACAATGTTGAGAGAATTCATGTTTAAGAGCCCTATTTTCTTTGTAAAGTAGGTGAAGGGAAATAAAGGAAAGGTTCTAAAATGTGGGAATAGTAGAGAGCAAAAAAGAGTCAAGGTAGAGGCCAGCCTGGTGGCTTAGTGGTTGAGTTCTCGCGCTCCACTTCAGCGGCCCAGGGTTTGAAGCTTCGGATCCTGGGTGTGGACCCAGCACCGCTTGTCGGGCCGCTCTGTGGCGGCATCTCACACAAAGTAGAGGAAGACTGGCACAGATGTTAACTCGGCGACAAAAGAGGAAGATTGGCAACAGATGTTAGCTTGCAACCAATCTTCCCCACACACAAAAAAAAACAGTCAAGGTAAAAATTTTGATAGGTAAGATGGGAAAAAGAGTAAGATAACAATAGAGTCAGAAACAACGTAGCCTTATATTTAAACAGAAATCTTGTGTGAAGTCATTTTGGTCGTACAACACAAGTCCCTAGAGTCACTAATTATTCAAAAAAAAAAGCTAGTCGTAAGTTATCCGGGAAGACATCTGTGCTTCTGCAGAGTATATCCCTGACATGGAGAGTGTTTACTGATAAAGCCTTGATTCCCTTTACCTTATAATGGAAAGAAAATGTGAAGTCTGAAATTTATAGACACACAAAATTGACTCAATAGATTTGTTACCAAAAACTTGCCTGACAAATTAATTCTATCTTAAATATGCTAGGAGAACATGATATTAAACAACAAACAAGAACCCCAAAGGGATTCCTTTAATATGCAAATAATTTTGAATCGTTAATAGTCACCCTAAATTTATTCATTTTCAAATGAAAGAAGTGAAAGAGAAGCAGAAATGACCTAGCTAAATTCATTGTTCTGCTTAGTGCTGGCTGCTCTCTTCCCTTCCTTTCACTCCCATCTCTATCTTTCACTGGTATCACTTCTGCTCAGCACTCAAAGGGTTTGGAATGATCGTTTATTATACTAGAACCTAAGTCTTCTGAGCTCTAATCCACCACGCTTTCCACTTTGCCTCTTTTTATCAAAATTTAACTGAAGACATAACTAAGCCAAATCATTAATAGCGGTAAGCACATCATCACCATTCACAAAAATTATCTATATACTATAGCAAAACTTTGCTCAGTATTAAGCTATTGTGTTGAGGATAATATTAATTTAAACTTTAGTAAGAAAACTACTCAGTGATGAGCCACAAACTATTTTAAGACTCTACACAGATGTTATTTATAGTTTATGTCAGCTTATCTGCTCTGCATATTTTTTATCTGACACCTTCAAAGAATGCTAATAGAAAATAAACATGCTGGAATAGACACTTGCCTTTACAAACCGACGATGCACCTCAGAAAACCATATGAATTCCTATAACACGTTACTGGCTACTAAATTAGGGCTAAATCTCGCATGCTCAATGAGAGCAAGATGGCTTCCAAGGAGGCAAATTTTGGTTGGCGGGGGAGGGGAGGAAGAGACAAAAAACCTTAGATATTACAATGAGCGTAGCCCTCAAAGAACCACAATACATAGGCAAATACACAGTATATCTACGGTATTAAAATTTCATGGGGGGGGGTGGTTAAGGGGAAAAAACTGTCAAAGAAAAGGCTCCTTAGGGGGACAGTAATGTTAAAAAAAAAAAAAAAAGGTTGAGAAACACCAGGATAAATGCTAGTTTTTGTATCTCAACACATTAACGATTGTCATGCTTAAAGAAAACATCTAAAGGGGCCGGCCCTGTGGCTGAATGGTTAAGTTCCCGCGCTCCACTTCTGCGGCCCAGGGTTTCGACGGTTTGAATCCTGGGTGCTGACATGGCACCGCTCATCAGGCCATGCTGAGGCAGCATCCCAAATGCCACAACTACAAGGACCCACAATTAAAAATACACAACTATGTACTGGGGGGCTTTGGGGAGAAAAAGGAAAAATAAAATCTTAAAAAAAAAAAATTAAAGAAAAAAAGAAAACATCTAAATAATTCACCTTTTTTTTTCATTTGACCAACTCTTCTGCCTCATCCATCATCCTAAAATACGATTTCATGCACTTGTAGATAAATATCAACTGGTCTCTTCTCTTTTTCTACACCTATTTCCAAGTGATCATCCATACATTTTCACTTCTACTTAGCATCAAAGGGTCTGGGATAATCTCTCTTATACAGCATTCTTATCAAACTTGAAGATTTTAAGTTCATTCATTCAATAATTATTTGTATAGTGCCTACTATGTACCTGGTACTATGTTAGCTCTTCTTTCCTGAGCCTTGTCCATCATTGCTGTCTCACTGAAATGGAAATATGCAAGATGATGCAGATTAGCTCTGAGAAACTACTAACACCCTATACTCTTGCAAGAAATGGAGAGAGAGGGCAGCCAAGTTTCAAAATCTATGTATGTAGAATTACAGAAACTGCCCCCAGTCTCAGAAAACATTTTGAGTTTGGTGAAGGATGTATTATGGGAAGGAAGGGAAGGATGGGGGAAGAAAAAGAAGGAGAAAGGGAGGGAGAGAGAAAGGGAAGAATGCTAAATTAGGCTACAAGAGACAAGCAAAAAGCTTTCCCAACATACCAAGAACTGGTCACCATCAGATCAGAGCCAAAAGCACCATATTCAATTGGAGAAATATTTTCTGTACATGGGGAAAGTGATCTGAGTTGTTGGGTTTTGTTTGTTTAAGATTGGCACCTGAGCTAACATCTGTTGCCAACCTTTTTTTCTTCTTCTTCTCCCCAAAACCCCCAGTACACAGCTGTATATTCTAGTTGCAGATCCTTCTAGTTGTGCTACGTGGGATGCCGCCTCAGCATGGCCTGATTAGTGATGCCATGTCCACGCCCAGGATCCGAACCGGCGAAACCCTGGGCCGCCGAAGCAGAGTGTGCGAACTTAACTACTCCGCCACAGGATTGGCCCAATCTGAGTTTGTTAAAAACCTGGAGACAAATTTTGCCTTAGAGAAATCTGCTGCAAACTAGCCAACATTCAAATATGTCTCACGAAAGCAAAATATCTAAGTCTTAGAATGCTTTTTTACTTTACAAACATTTTGGCTTTGGGTCACACAACGCAGAAATAATATTCACCATTCCCTCTGTAAAACATACTAACCAGCAAAGAACTGGCAAATGAATGCACATTTATGTTTTAAGCTAAAAATAAAATGATACACAAGATGTATAATTCTTTAAATTCCTCACTTCAATTAACTTTTTCCATTAATCTGGGAGTCCCAATTGTATCAGATGAGAGCTTATTTTCCTTTTGATATATTTACTGTGCATTAAAAAAAATAAAAATTGTGAGCATGTAGTCTATAACAGCAATCCCCAATCATTTCTAGTAAAAGGAGACCTTTTTAATGTTTAAGAAAACTAGTATCCAGTACCTGAGAAAATATGATTGAAAGCTACTATGAATTCAATATAGTATTAATCAAAAGAACATCTATATACATGCGAAGAACAGAACTACATATGCATCAGACACTTACTCAGTTTATAGATAGTACTCAATATTTTTGTAGAGTCAAGGACCCAAGTCACTAACTCCCCAACTCAGGGGTTGAAAGACCTAAGGTCAGGATATATACAAAAATAGAAGAATCATATACATAAAATTATAGGAATCACAAAATACATGTAAAAATTACAGGGCAGAAAGTTTTAAAAGTATGTAAAATAAGAAAAAATACAAATCACTATTCAGAATATCACTGCACTTCTACTAGGAGTCATACATTAAAGCAGTGCTTAAAAAAAGTTTTCTTAAGCAGGTAGGATCATCAGCGACAAGGTGCCATTATTGCACCAATTTTGCTTTTCAATATAATTCAAACCGATTTTATAAACAGCGGAAATTCCTCCCAGATTGACAACTTGTTAATCATAAATTTCAGTTCATATTTTCATTTTGCTTTTCATGTTTCAGTATCTTCCTAAGTACCACAGGGAGAAGCTTGGAGAGAGACGAAATATAAGACAACTTCAATTAATTTACCGAACAAGTAAGTGAATAAATAGCTATTTCAGGAGGTACCATTTTAATATTGGAAGCCTATATGTATAGGATTTATGTATAGTAATTACTTCTCTACACAATTATAATTCTCTAACCTGACAGAAAAATAATCCCATGATTTATTTGTTAATCTCAGTTCCAAAGAACTTAGTTAGCAACTAGATGTTTTTCTTATCAGAAAAATGGTATTTTTATATAGGTTGTTTACATCCAGTTATTTTTCCCCAATTACATTTTAATAAACTAAATATTATAAAAACACTAGATAATCCTTAGTCTGTCTTTAGTCATACTAAATTCAATTATACCCAAAACAAACAAAATCCTAATGATTGTCATTTATACTTCAATGACAAGTATAGTCACCTACTGGGCTGTACTTCATCAGTACTTCCTAGCTGTACAAACACCAATGATGATTACTATCATCATTTAATCAAACTAGATAATACATGTGAAAAAATACTGTAAGATAAAAATATAAACTATTACCAGCATTAAACATCCCCAAATCCATTTATACTTATCCCATAATCTAGTATGTATTAAAAATCATATACACAAAGTAAAATTTTACATAAAGTATTTCAGAGAAGGGAAATTAATAATCTATAACATGAATTCTTGGTGAAATGGAACCTCAGTAATAGTAAAGTTCTAAACCATGAGAGGATACAAAGTATCATATCTGCTAGCATATTTACTTAGTATTTTTCAGCAACACATACACTTAATTGAAATATACTTGACCCATGTGGTTTTCAACTTTCTGACATTAATTCTATATACCTGAGAACTTAAGAAAGTACAATGGAACACTGGAAGAATGTTAAAATGAGCTAAAACAATTGAGAGAGCCAAATCCAAGTTGTTCAACTGGGTTACACATATTGAAAAAATATTTTTAAACTTTCATAGTAAGATTTATTTAAAATATAAAAACAATGTACCTTAGTCTAAATTTACTACTATTTCAAATTATTTAATTCGAGTCATAAAGCTGTGTCACATAGTTAAGATGTTCACAGAGCATCAAAAACATTACCAGATAAATTAAGGTCCATATCAAAAAAACTTTAAAAATGACTGGATTATGATCAATGAGTTGAATAATACAATGTCAAGTTTTTAATTTAAATTTTACTTAGAAATATGTACATGAGATACATACACAAAAGCACACTGCTTTCCAAATATCTGTAGTGAGTGTTCCTATGTAAACATGAGAAAGAGCAGTGAATGACAGAAAGAGAATAAGAGACACATACACCAAGAACTAATATACAGTATTTATAAATTAGATATTTGAAATAATTATTACCACCTGCTTAACACATTCTCAAGAAGTCCTTCTAATTATAATATATCACCACAATTTTAATCAACTGTTCATAAAGTAAGTATATCTAAAAAATTTCAGAATTTAAATTTTTACTTCAGATATTTTAAAACAAACATATCACCAAATTTATAATTAGATTTGGGCTGATTTTGATGTTAACAACACTTGAAAATAATGAGTTAAGCCGTACTTTAGTGGCATCTCTATTTCTCTTAAGCAGTTCCACTTTTCAACATCCCTAAAAACTCCAGTTATGCACAACTACCAGCTCAGGATAATAATAGCAATGAACCATATTCATCTGAAACCACAAGACTGTCAGGTGACATACCAAGAAGTCTGAACTTAACTCAAATAAAAGCCTTTCCATGCTGCAATGCAAGAAGGCTAAATCCTAGCACCAGGACTATGGGGGACTGGGAGCCTTTAAGAAATCTATTGCCCATGACAAAATCTATTTTTACAAAAGGCTTCATTTATTCAGTCCTACTGTTTCATGAGTAACATCCAGTTCTTTTGTTTCACTGGAGTCTGAGATTTTTACAGAAGCAAATTATGACTACTTTGCAATTCCTTTATCTCTTCTACTATAAATATATGATTAAAGAAAATCAATCTAAGCATTCTGTAGACTAAGTGCTGTTCTGGCAGCCGGTGCAGACTAGGAACGCCAATTTTTTTTCAAGGGTGCTTTAACCCAATCGGGCTGGTCCTGCGCAGAGTGCTCATGCAACTATGGCTAGAACCCAAATCTTCCACAATCCCCATCTATAAGGAACTCAGGCTCATTCAATAAACAAGAAAACAGAATAGCTCCTTTCTCAACTTCCCTGTGTCCGAACTCTGCCATTTCAGACAAGCACACATACACATTCTTGGAAGCCACAGCAAGCTTGTGTTCTAGCCAGATGACAAGCAACTGGAAAACCAAGCCCTAATGATCACAGGACCCAGACTGGCCAGCATGCAAACTGGCTCACTAATCTGAACCCTGTGTTGAATTCAGATAGACAAGTCTAGCACAAAATACTACCTTTGAATTTATAAACTTCAACAAGACTACCATATTACATTATTTGGTTGGTTCATGAAATAGAGACATTTCAACTTGCTTTAAAAATGCTGTCTTTCACTGGGTTTGTATTTTAACATATATCAGCATGTTCTTCCAGAAAAACCAGAGTACATCTGTGTATTATGCAGATATGACTAATGCAGTAACAGAAATGCCTTAATACAACGGGCTATTAATCCACAACCTAAAAGACAACATGCTAAGACCAAGAATCATTCCTCACATCCAACATGACAGAAACAGAACAATGGGCTCTCAATCAGCCAAACTTGGATTGAAATACCAACTCTGTCACATACTGACCGACTGTGATCTTAGAAAAGTGCCTTAACTTTTCTAGTCCTCAGATGCCTCTTCTATATCTATAATTAGTACAGGAACAGTGTTTTACCTTTTCAACACTTAAAACAGTGTGTCACACCTATCAAGCATTAATAAACATTTGGTGAATTACTGATGTGCTACTGGAGATACCTGTCTCTTTCAAATACAATGCCTTCTTGTCCCAGTTACAAAACTTGTAACCTTATTTTAATTGTGATACCTTATAATGAATTCTAATAATTCTAGTACTTGTTGAGATATGCAAATATCTGCCACAGTGGTTCTAGCAATTTCTCCACAATTCATTAGGCAGAAACTTTTAAAATCCACCTTTCACGCATAGGGGCATGAATATATGGGAAATCTATGTACCTTTGCTCAGTTTTGGGGGGAATCTGAAATTATTCTAAAAACTAAAGTCTATTTTTAAAAAATCCATCTTTGATTGTTTAAGTTAGAAGCCTGCATACAGACACAAAAATAAACTAAATGGTTTTACAGGGCTAACAGATCTAAGGTTTCACAGCTCATTCATGATAGACCTGTGATGCAGATTTGAGTTTAATATGATCATACATAATACAAGCATGTTGACTGCAGCACTAAACGTATCAAAGGAGAAAAAAACTAGAAACAACTAAAATGCCCACCAGCAGAAGACTTCATAAATAAATTGCAGCACAATCACTTAGAGGAATACTGTGCAAACCTTTAATAGGACGAGATAGAGCAGCACACAAGATCTCCAAGGTAATTATTATGTGAAGAAAAGTAAGGTTCAAAACAGTATGCATGCCATGAGAGTGGAGGCAAACAAACATATCACTATGTTTGTATGTGCCCTAAACATTTTAAAGAAAGATAAATAAACTTAATACAAAGAGACACAATTAACTCTTAAAAGAAGTGACCCTTAGGCAACAAAACTAGGAA